AGTGCGGAATATACGAGAAACAATATTTCATATACGACATTTACTTGTTACCGTCCATTAAAGAAGTAGTAAAACAAGTTTGTTGTAGTGATAGAAGAGAATGCATGCTTAGAAAATGTAAGATTTTTTTGGATTATCGTGTTCAATTTCAAGAAAAAAGATTGCTAAAAGATAAAAGTATTATAGTTTGGTTCCAGTGAGAAAAAGAGAAACAGGAATATGAAAAGAAGGGAGAAAAGAAAACAACAAATGTTGTCAGGAAAAGTGTAAAGCGTGGAACACTTAAAGATCTTCAAGTAAAATTTTGTGAGTCATTTCCAAACGGGCTATGCAAGCATGTTTTTATAATAAGACACGAGTTGAGAATGTACAAACATTTAAAAGAAACAGTAAATGTGGACGAAGCCACTATACATATAGATTTTTCTGAGAACTATGTCTGCAAGATTTTTGCTGCAATTAAATTTTCACATTTTGGAGCAAGTAACAAACAAGCTATATTGCATACCGGAGTAATTTATAAAATAGATGGACATCAGTCATTTACAACTATATCCGACTCTTTGAGACAAGATCCTCCTTCTATACGGGTACATCTGGACCCGTGCTAATTAAACTCAAGTTAGATAACCCACAAATTACAGATCTTCATTTTTTTTCTGATGGACCAGCCACGCAATATAGGAATAAGCAAAACTTCTTTTTATTTTCAACAGTGCTATACGAATTAAAACTTCAATTAGCCAGTTGGAATTTTTTTGAAAGTGGACATGGCAAGAGAGCACCAGATGCAATAGGAGGATCTGTGAAACGTCAGGCGGATCAATTGGTTATATTCCAGACCGATATATTCCAAAATCACTGGTATGGTAAACAAATATTTGTGTATTTTATCATTTTGGTAATTTATCTGTTTCTATAGTAATTAAATTTAATTTAAAGACTTCCATGACGCAAAATTTCTTTTTAGTAATGCAGAACAGTGGTGAAAATACTACCTCGGCTAATACAAAGGTCAATTATTACCAATTTTGATATTTAAGTAGCAATATCATTAATTTGAGTAATTTCGATGAAAATTTGAATATCTAGTTGCAACATTAGTTGCGACAAAATCGTTTAATGAGAAATTGACTCTTATGTGATCTAGCTTACTTCATAGAGATGCGTTAAATCTCATACATGTAATTACGGTGCTTAGGAAGATGCTCTAAGACCTTGCAACATATCCCCAGAATTTTTTTTTTTGTTTATTATCAGAAGACTTCCTTATTTCAAAAATGTAAAAAACAACTTTTTTCACCGGGGGCCTAGGGAGAAATCATGTAATTTAGGCGAGGGCCTAGTAATATTGTTGTTCAAGATAGGTAACTAAGAGCTATGTCGCATACTCAAATTTTTAGTATGTTAATAATGGTATCAAATGAGGATGAATTGCAAAAAGTTAAGGTAATTGGAGCTAACCGAGCCCTGTCCCGAGCCCGAATTGCCCCCTTCCTAGAACTTCGTCTCCTAAGCTAATAAACTTTTAAGTTTTATTATAAATTAGATCAAAATTTATCGACAAATTTCAAGCTTCATTAAAAAATATCTTTTTGTTTAAGATTTATGACCATAAGAAGTTCATTCAAGTTGTAGTTGTAGGCAACAGCTTCTTTTTTAGCGCTTCAGTATAGTTTGGGCTGTGTTCTTTAACTTTTCTTATTCGCCTAAACTGATTGAAATCCTGGTGAATGGATTCCAGAGCTTGTCCGGTCTAGTAACTTAAGCATACAGAATATAAAATGCACAAAATAAGTTTTAGTTTATTTAATGAATAATCGTCATAGTTTATTCAAGTTTTAACTTGCATAAGCTGTTGTATTATTGTAATGATAATTATTTAATTATTTTTATTATATTTAAATAATATTAATTTAATCTTTTTTCAAACTTAATATTTATTTATCATACCGAAGACTGCATCTTTCGATGAATTTGATAATATGTTGCTCAACTAAGTGTACTTTCAAAGGAATTGTAGCCCCTAGATTTCTATAGCTCCTAGACAACTGCTCTATATCTTTGACATAAGTAGAGTTTAATGATTTTCCAAAACAGCCATTGACTACTTTTTTAAAATCTCTAACTACCTTAATGTATTTGAACAAGGGATCTCCAAGGCTGGACTCCTGAAAAAACATCTCAAAGCTGTCTATGTTTTTAAGCAACTTATTGCAAGCATTGCTTTTTAAATGATGCTGCCCTTGCTAGGATATTCAAATGTTTATTGTAGAAAAATATCGGTTGACAAACGGTAACCCGCACTCCTTGTTTTCAAACAAATTGTTTTCAATTTCTTTTAAAATTTTGTCTATAAGACTTAAAAGTATATGTAGACTGGGACTATCAACAAGCTCTTTTATTTTTTTATTTTTCTCTCTGTTATTAAAAGAAGTTGAAAAACATTAATGAACATTTATGCATTTTTTAAATTTGCACCGTCAGATATCCATCGGTCATATAATCTGCACAAAGATTCTAAAGAATAATGATCAGCTTTTTAAAAGTTAGCAGATGAGGTCATGCAAAACGGACAAGGGTGCTTTGATGTTGCAGTATGTTTTTCAACCATTTGAAACAATACCTTTATAGCTTCAGATACTATGTAATCTAATGAAGAAATGTTCAATTTATCCAAAACTATTCGCACATTATGGTATTTTTTGTTTAATAAAGGCAAAATGACCAGTATAATATATAATATATTATGCTGACCATTTTGACCAATGGATATCTGATGGTGTAAAAGTGTTTGTAGTTTAGCTTTCAATTTGCAGGTAGCTCGTAAAAAGTATAGTATTAACTTCATATGAACAATTGTTTAACATAATTTTTTAATAAATGATATGATTATATATGACATGCAAAATATAAACAAAAATTTAACCAAATAGACCAGAAATTTTTTTTTTACGGCCATAATGTAGTGGTAGTTAACCCTATTGGACCCCAAGTACCCCACCTCTAGTGTATGGTTCCCTTATAGAACTTTTTTTGTGTTAAGTTAAAATAGATCAAAATTCATCAACAAATTTTATAAATTTCATTAAAAAACAATATTTAGTTTAAAAGTTACGACCATTCAAAGTTATTTCAGGGGATAAATTTGTGGAATTTTGAACTTCTTATGGTCATAAATCTTAAACAAAAAGATATTTTTGATGAAACTTGAAATCTGTCGATAAATTTTGCTCTAATTTATGATAGAACTTAAAAAAAAAGTTATTAGCTTCGGAGACGTAGTAGAAGAGTCATCTGATAATAAACAAAAAAAAAATTCTGGGGATGTGTTGAAAGGTCTCAGAGCATCTTCCTAAGGGGCTGTCCATTAATTACGTCAACAATTTTTTTAGCAATTTTTACCTCCCTCTCCGCCTTGTCAACAGTTTGTCAAACTTAGAGTGACCTCCCTATAAATTTACGTCAATATTCGATAATTCCACCCCCCCCCCCCCCCCAATAAAAAAAAGTTTTAAATGTTAAAAATTTTAAATTAAATTAGAAAAAAAAAATGTAATCAAACTTTAACTAAAAACTTTTTTACTAAATGAATATAATCTTTTAAAATTACAAATGCTTGCTCTGAACAAAAAGTGAATTAAAGTCAAATGTATAGAAAAAAATATTTAAACTTTTAACTTATAAACACAGTTCCAGTTTAGAAATACAAAAGAGCCTTTTTTTTGTAAACCTTTAATCTTTTTTTTCTCTTAAGAAAAAAAAGATTGAAGGGTTCAAAAAAATGTTTACACCTTTAAATTATAATCATATTTCAAATTGATAAAATTTTCGTCACTTTAATATTAGACCTTATACAAATTTACAGTGAAAGCCAATTATTTTTAATAGAGTCTAGAATAACAAAAAAGTATTTAACAAATTTTATAAACCATGTGTTGGCAACCTTTTGAGATGAAAGAGCCAAAAGTTACAATATATAAGGTTTTTCAGTTTTTAAAGAGCTATCAAGATCTTTATTTCAATATTATATTTAGGGATGCGGAGTCCCGAAAAGAACTCCGGATTTGAATGTCACAAAAAGATTATTTGTTCTTAGTTTTTGGTATCCATGAGCTCTAATAATATAAAAATGCTTATAGATTACTATTGGTAAAAAAGTTAGGACTTTTAGTTAGAGGAACAATCTCCTTTTGAACCCGGAGTCCTTAGGTATAATGGCAGGTAGGACATTGAGACTCCGGGATTAAAAACAGTATGTTTTAAGTCATTATATTTCATGAATTTTTTTTTATTTAGCCAATTATAAATTAACCAAAATGTTTAGATCTTTTGGACACCAGAGACCATGAAAAAATAGAAATATAAAACCGGAGACCTTTTGGGACTCCGCTTCCCTGATTATTCTAATATTTGTGCATGTCAAGATAATAATATTTCAATGTCAAGATGCAGCAAAGGAGCTTTATCTTGACGTTAAAAAAATAACAAGAGGCTTGCGAGCTGCAGGTTGCACCCCTTGTATAAACGATTAAACAATGTAATGTAGAAATGTACTTACATGAATCTTTTTTTGAATGCACGGCAGACTGCAACAACAATAACTTTGAAAAAATAATACCTTTACGAGTAAACATCTTGTGTGTAGTTATCTAGTTCTGTATATCGGGTATTTTAAAGCAAAAAACGGTTTTTAAAAAGTAGAAATATAAATTATAGGATAGGAATTAAAATACTAAAGGTTGAGCGACTATGTAACACAGGACTGCAAACGCTGCATAATTTTCCTTTTTTTAAATAGTTAAATTTATAAAAAAAAGTAACATGTTCCAAAAAAATAAAGTGTTGACGTTAACTTTTTTTGACCTTACCTCTTCCCTTGTCAACAATTGTCCAAAAAATTCAGACCCCCTCCCCCTATTTTGTTGACGTATTTAATGGACAACCATTAAGTACTGTGTAATAAAAAATGTATATTAAATCCCTAATCGTCCGCAAAAATGTAAACAAGCAGCACTAAATGGCAGCACGTGCAAAGTAATATTACTTAAATAATTTATAAAAGTTTATATTAGAAATAATAAATATTGAAAATTTTTCTAAATATAACAATATATATTAATAAAACAATAGAAAAACACATAAAATCAATATTTTAAATCATGAAAATAAAATTTTGAAAGCTTAAAACTTCTATGCTTTTAAAATTTTATTAAAAGAAAGCAAAATTATTATTGTAATAAAATTTGAATATATAATTGCTAAAACCACCATATGTAACTTTATCTGGTTAAAATAATGCATTATTAGTTGATATTTAATATATTTTTATATATTATTAAACATTATATATATATATATATATATATATATATATATATATATATATATATATATATATATATATATATATATATATATATATGTATATATATATATATATATATATATATATATATACATATATATATATATATATATATATATATATATATATATATATATATATATATATATATATATATATATATATATATATATATATATATATATGTATATATATATATATATATATATATATATATATATATATATATATATATATATATATATATATATATATATATATATATATATATATATATATACATATATAGTTGTCTTCCCTGTCTTCCATTGGTAATACTTTCATCAAATCCACTATTACATTATAAACTGTATATGTTATGAAATGGCTGTAAAGTTTTTATGTGGTATCTGTTGTAAATCTGTATCTGATAACCATAAAGCTATACAATGTGACTTGTGTAATAAATGAATTCACATACAGTGCAATAAACTTGATTCAAAAACCTACATCTCTTTAATGAATGAAACAAGTTTTTTGTATTGTTGCAAGTGTCTCAATGACACTATACCATTCTCATCACCAACAGATAATGAATTTAATCTATCTTTAAATAGAGAACCATTATGTCAATCTGTATACATTGCACCATCAAACCTCTAAAACCTCTTCGAAAACCTTAATGATCTCAATAGTAATATTATGAGTTGTAAATACTATGATATAATAGCATTTAACAATACTATCAAAGATTCTGAAATATACTTACATGTTAATATATCATCATTAATGTACTACATTGATGACCTTAAATGCCTTATTTCTCTTATGAAAAGCAAACCAATTATGCCATAACTGAAACATGTCTTCAAAAAAACAAGATACCGATAACTGATATATCCTTAGATGGCTCTCTATTTGAGCAAAGCAATTCATACTCTAATAGAGGAGGAATTCTTTTATATATAAAATTATGAGAACTAAATCAACAAACATATATATTTGACATATATTGACATTGATATTGACATATATTGACATATATTGACATATATTGACATATATTGACATATATTGACATATATTGACATATATTGACATATATTGACATATATTGACATATATTGACATATATTGACATATATTGACATATATTGACAATTATATTTTTTATCTGAAAAAAATATAATTGTCACACTTGTATGTGCATCACTGAATTCAATGACATTTACTTACTAACTCTACTAGACATATTGTCAATAGAAAATAAAAATATTATTCTTTTAAGCAACTTTAATATAAACCTCTTAAATTATTATCTATCTAATGAGGTATCAGCCTTTCTTAACTCTATGTGTTCTAACTCTCTGTATCAACTTATCACTATACCAACAAGAATCACTATACAATCTAAAACACTGATTGATAATATTTTTGTAAACTTCTACCCTCCAAATCTTAAATTAGGAAATCTAGCAGTATCTCTTGCTGATCATCTTATCAATTTATTGCTTTGCCAAGTAAAACCAATAAACCTATTCACAACAAAACATATTGTCGCTCCTAAAAAAACTTTAATCAAAGTGCATTTCTTGATAATCTCACAACAATAGATTGGGATCCTGTAACTATAGAAGCAAAAAAATGCATCAATAGTTCCCTCTCAAAATTTTTAGAACTCATTAATAAGGTACTTGACCATCATGTACCTTTTGTACTGGATGCCATTAAAGAAAAAAAACTTCATCCTAACCATGGATAACTGCTGGCATTATTAATTCCATAAATATAAAGAATAAACTTTATAAAAAGTATATCAAATGTAAACTAGAATTTTTCAACCAATTCAAACATTACAGAAACAAAATAAGCAACCTAACTCGTATCTCAAAAAAAAAAAATTACTCTAAATACTTTAATAAAAACGTTAATGACCTCAAAAAAACTTGGATTGGAATAAAAAACATAATAAATATAAAAGCAAATAATAATAATACTATAAAAAGTTTATTTGTAAATAATCAGACTATTACTGTCAAAAAGCAAATCGCTAACTTTTTTTTTTTTTTTTCAAGTGCCTTTTTTTTTTATTTTTTTATTTTTTTAGTGTTTTTTTTTTTAAATTATTTTTACTATTATTATAATATAACCTGATATTATTTATATACTATTACTTTTTATTTTTTATTTTTATTTTATTATTAAATTTTCATTATTTATTTTTATTATTTTATTATTTACATATACAAGTAATATGTTATATATTTTGTCAAATTTATAATGAATATTTGTAGGTTGTCTTATTTTTGTCAGTTAAATAACTGTTTGTGACTGATCCTAACTTTGTATTTACTTTTAAAATGAAATAAATGATTGATTGATTATAAGAGGAAATTTCAGATGTTGGTGGGCAGATGCCACTTTACCTCATTGTATTTACAGATATTGTTTGGACAGATGTTATTAGACAAAAACTGATATTTTACCCTGACCTAGATTTTCAGCACGATTATTCATTAAATATTTTAACAGAAAAATGTTGACATCTTAGGCATCATAGTTTTGTGTAGATAAAGATCCGATTTTTTTAGACATACTTTTATAAATATTAATAAGTAATGTGAATAGTATGAGTAATAAGTACCTCTTCTACCTAATTTCATTATCTTTTAAATGATTTTATCCTAGTTTATTCATATTTAGAATAAAGTGGAACATTAAAAAACTCTCTTCTTATAAACAAATGTTGAGTTAAAAATGTACGTAGAAGGATATCTAAGTTAGTGGTTTACATAACCTTCCATATTTATAAAAGACTTTTTAAGACTAAAATGATAACCATGAGATAAGGCTAGTCCAAGAAGATTTAAATAATGTCATTAAATATAGTGGTAAACAATTTACTTTAAATATCAAACAATTTTACTAAAACTGATAATAGGTGGTGGAAAAAAAAAAACTTATCTAGGAGTGGAAAGAACAGATATTAAAGTATCAATGTTATATTGATACTTTAATATCTGTTGGTTAGAAGGAGATCATAAAACTAGGCTTGTAATCTTCAGGAATTGTATGAAGTATCTGGAACTACATAAATTGTTTCAAAATATATAAAATATAGTGTATAAAACTATAACTACAAAGAATATCAGAGGGTATGCAAAATATCAAGAACTATTCAAAGTACTGGGAACCACATAAAAACCAGAAGCTACATAAAGTTTCAGAAACTACACAAAATATCAGAAACTACATAAAATTTCAGGAACTATATAATATGCAAAACAATTAATGATAATTATGATATCATGTTATTTTTTTATGTTGTAAATACCTTATTAAAATTAATATTTGCTAAATGGTTATAATGATAATAGAATGCTATTTTTAATAATATATCAGCATCTAATTTTTTGGCATCTATAATGACCTTAACAAATTACTTTTAATCAATAAATTAAAAAACAGCAAACATTGGGCCAACATATGATTGCTACAGAGGCTAGAGTATTTATAACAACTTCTAAACAAATGATTCTGGTAATATTAATTCAAGGATGTTAGTTGTTTGATTTGAATAGTCTAAATACTTAATTGAAATTATTTAAAAATTTTTTTAAAAATAATGTCAATTAACTATTTAGCTAATTGACATTATTTAAAAAAGTTTTTTATAATTTCTTGATCTGAAATTTTTAAAATATAAATCAAATGATTTAACTCATTGACTTTTTGGCATAATAATATTCTAATATATTTTTTCTTCTAAGTTTTATTTAGTTATTACAACTATTACTGTTTCCAATATTTATTTTGAAAACTTGTTTTTTTTTTCAAGAAAATTTATTTGCAATGGTTTTTTTGCTTTAGTTTTTTTTTAAATTCTGTTTGAAATTTTATAGATGGCTGATATTGAGTTGACTTTTGAAAAAAAAATTCATTTATTTGCATTTGCTTGCAAAACACTTTTAAGCAAAGGTACAAATATTGTGAAAAATTATTGCACAATAACAAAACAACTTGTTTATTTTAAATGTCTTTTATTTAAAATTCAAAATCTTTTTGTAATTTTTTATTTTTAAGTACAAATTTTAATTGTTTTTTATATTTAGTTGTACTTCTTATTTAATATTCTTCAGAAAAAATCTTTTAGATGCATCATGTTCTTCTACTTGAACCTTTTTATGGGGGTTCTCATAAACAACTGATTGATTATTTGGTCGAAATTTTACATGCAAAAGATATAGAAGTCACCAAAATCACAATGACTGATAAAAAGTGGCACTGGAGATTAAGGACTAGTGCATTATATTTTGCAGAACACATTCCTAAAGAGAGGGTTTTTAGGTAGTTTTTATTCTTTTAAATATTTGTATCAATATTAACTTGTATACAATACATAGAGTCATTTTTAGATTATAAAGAGATTTGCACATGCACATTTACTAATAAAGATCATTTAAGGAATACTGTTTTACAAACAATTATATGTTATAGTAAATAAATCATTGATATGATAAATATTCATTATTATCATAGTTAAGTAACATTCATTGTAAAAATAATTAGGGTTTATTAATATTTGTAATTCTTTAAATTTAAATTTATTGTTGTTAAAGCATCTAATAGTATTTACTATTTACTCTTATAACCCTCCTTATTATTGTCATATTGAATGAAATAGCATGACTTACTAGGCTGTTGGTTATTTAACTGAAAAAAAATATTCTTTATAAAAAATATTTGCTATAGATATAAAAAGCCTTATCTTTTTTCATTTTTCAACAAAATCCTAATTTTGACATATTTTAGGCTAAAAACTAAAACAATCAAATTCGACAGCTTTCAGTAATGTTTTTATCAATTTTTTTAAAACAGTGTGTATTCTTATGTGTAAAGGAAAATGTTTTTTTTTTACAGAAATGTGCAATTTTCAAAAAATTTATATATATATATATATATATATATATATATATATATATATATATATATATATATATATATATATATATATATATATATATATATATATATATATACATATATAAATATATACATAGTCATTTTTATGACTCTGAAAGTTACAGTTTTTCTCATTGTTGCATGATAAAAAAAGGTATCATTCTAAAATGTTATTCTAACCTTGAATTTATTTTCGTAATCGGAATTAAATTAGCGTGAAAATGGAGCTAATATGTTCAAATTGTTATTGGTCAGATTTTATACTTAATAAAATATATATATTTTAAGTAAATAATGAATGAACTTTTGCAGTTTTTATGTAACATAAGTTAACAAAAACATGATAAAGTTTTATTTGTTAAAAAATTTAGTTAAAAACTCAAGTTTTTTAATAATGTATGTGAAAGAATATTAAATATTACATTTTTGCATTTAAAGTTTTGAATAACGATGCTTAGTTAAAGCACAATTTTTTTTTTAAATTTGTGTAATATTAGTTAAAACTACAAACATTTTATTAAGTTCTGGCGCTTTTTTGTTAACAAAATTAATTATGAATTATTATTTTTTGACAAGGTTTTAACCGGAACTTTTTATATAAGGAGAATTAAAAAAATTTTTTTTTTTTAATGTTAATTAAAATTATTTATATTATTGCTTTTTTATTTGTTTATGTGTTCTTATTTTATTTGACATATATACATATAAATAAAAATAAGAATTATATAAATATTTGTATTTAGAAATTAAAAAAAACAGATTTATTTGCTATTCTCCTAATATAAAAAAAATCAATAAGAATTTTTTGTTTTTTGTTTTAGTAAAACAAATCATTTGTAAATGCTATTATGGGTCATCCATAAAGCATGTCACCCTATATTTGTTAATTTTTAACTCCTTCCCTCCTGTCACAAACGATCACATATGCCTGAATCCCTCTCTCTCCTAAACTGCGAAAGCAGTTTTTCTTCAAAAGTATTTCAAAAGGTTTAAATGTAAATATTTTGCAGCATTTTAAAAATTTAACCTAATGAAAATAAGGCAATACGCATAAATGTAAGGAGCATAAGTAAAAACTTTGACAAACCAAAAATTTTCTTATTTAAACGACTCAAGTAAGTATTAAAAAGTTGTAATACTAAAACAATTTTTCAAAGTTGCTCTTGGTCTTGCAGAAAAACTGATTTCGATTTGATAACCTTTATAAATGTTTTGAAAAATCATTCAGGAAGAGTGCCACCAGTTTTTTTAAATTTCCCTTGTTAATTATTTTTAATAAGTTCAATACCTTTGAATAGGGATGGCACTTTTACTTATTTTGATGTAAAAACGCGAATTACTTTTAAGCGCAAATTACTTTACATAACTTATATAAAAATATATAACTTACTTACATTTAAAAGTAATTCGTTTTTTTTTACGTAAATTATATAACGTGTAAAACTTAATTACTTAAATTAAGTTTTTTAAATGAGTAACTGTTACTTGAAAAAGTAGTTTACTTTTACAAGTAAAAGTTATTTGCATTTTTACTTTTACTTGTAAAAGTAACTTACTATTAATAGTAAGTCGTGTAAAGTAAATTACTTTCAAAAGTAATTTTGGTTATAATTATGTAAAAAGTTTACATTGAAATGTAATTTACTTTTTAAATGTAAAAAAAGTTATTTATAAAGTAAACTTATATAAATATAATATTTAAAAAACATAACACTTACTTTACCGAGTAAAATAAAACTACATCATAACAACAAATTACTTTTACGTGTAAAAGTAACTAATTAGCATTAATTAGCTTACATAAATTAATTTGAAAAAAATTGTTATTTACTATTACAAATAAAAGTAATTTTTTCTTTGAAATTTTATACTTTACTTTGTAAGTAAGTAAAATGTAAGTTACATTATTTACTTTCTTAAAGAACAGTCATTTAATGTTGATTTAACGTAAATTTTGAGATAGGTAGCGTATTCAAATCCATTTTCTGTTTGAGGGCACTTCTGGCTACTACTTCAGGTATGTGGGCAAGTATGTAGTGGGGCATCAGGAAAAAATTTTTTTTCACGTATATCAGAAAGGGTAGTTATATTATAATTAGAGGCAAATATAGTCATGCCGGAATAACAGTAGTGTAGAGACGGGAACCCTGCCGCATGAGTGCTAATAGAAGCTGGTAAATAATCATTGATTTTTTATTTCTTTTTTTTTTGTTAAGTAGAAATAGGTTAGTAGCCATAATGAAACTTTGTCGGGGAAGGAAGGGAGCATAATTTCTTAGCTATGGGTAATTCATGCATGTGTAAACCCTGACTAAGTCACTGTTTGTTAGAGCGCGCTTTTTCTCCAGTTTTTTTCTTTGTATTTGCCTTTTCAATTAAGTATTTTGTTATGGTAATATGACGCAATATAATAGTTTTGGTACCCGCAAGGACATCGACTGCATCAACAGTTTTCAAAAAATTATAAGTCATTTAAACTATAAGTTATAATTTACATGATTAAAGGAGTGTTTATCAGATATAATCTTTTATTGCGTTTTATTATATATAATGAAATTATATTGCGTTTTATCATATATAATGAAATTTCTATTTGAAAAAAGATGGTAAGAAAAGCTGTTTAATCTTCTTATATAGGTTGTGGGCACCCTAATAACTTACTTTTTGTTGCGTTGGTGTCCAACCCGCACAAGGACAATAAGACATATATAATCTTATTCAATTAAAATAGCGCTTTAGAATAAACTTGTAATTTTTTTTTTCAAACTTTATTTTGACTTTACAAGATGTTTGTCGGCTATCAGTTGTCCCGGAATCTTGCGATTGATTTTTCACTACCTTTCGGACTAGCTAGAGCTCTGAAACTTCCAGCATATGTGTAAATTTAATAAAAGTAAATCTTAAAATTGTTTTCAGAGCCAACTGGAGAACTCCACTTTTTGGAATCTCTTTTTTTTTATAATTATTTTACTTTATCTTTTAGACTTTACTTTGATTTTACTTTATCATGACAGCATTTGGGTAGTCCCAATGACATTGCATGTTAAATTTGTTTCCTGCAAAGAGGGTTGTACCCTTTATTTTTCTCTCTAATATTTTGTTTTTCTCTAATAATTGAGATCTTTAACTTTTTAGAAAGAATGATTTTTGCAAAAAACCTTTAAAAAGGCATTTTTTTTTGGTTTATTTGTTTTAGTATTAATTTTTTTGTCGGGAGGAATTAAGTTAATGGCCCTGATAAAAATTTACCATAAAAAAGTCGTGCATATTTGCTGCTGCTTTTTGCTTCTCTTAATCAGTGTGGTTGTTGTTAACGCTAATGCGCTAACTCAAATGCATATATAACAGCTTGGGGTGTGATACCCCCTTCACCACCCTGGTCCTGGTTGTAACAACCACTCTAACAGAAATGAAATTTTTGTTTTGTTTTTGTTTATTTATTAATATCTATTCACAAAACTGTTGTCTGGAATTAACTAATTTCAAATAGTCTATTCCAGACATTAATTATTCCTTTATTATTCTATTATCTAACAATTATTCTAGTTAGTCATTTCAAGAAATAACTTTGATTTTGGTTAGATTGGTTTTTAACAACAACTACGCTGAATAAAAGAAGCCAAAATGCAAAACTTAGAACAAAATTGCAAAATGCAGAGCCATTTCCAAAGCAAGAACAATAAACCAGACAGTCTTTTAAAAAAATATTTAAATAACTGATGTAAATAACATTAAAAAAGTTAAAGTTAAAATAGTAAAAGTAACTTTAAAATTAACTTAAAAAAAATTTATAACTTTTCATAACTACAACAACTGCTTATTTTAATTTGTTTAATATAACGAATTTAGTAGGATGGTTCAAAAAAGCAAAATACTTTTTAAAATACTGGTTAAAATACTTTTTCTCATTTTCAGTTAAATACAAAGTTTTAAAGTAAAATTTCAATTCTTCTCTTTAAGTAGCATCGAGTACCGCAAGTTTCTCAAGCTTAAGTTACTTCTTTCTTTGCGATGAATAAAGTTAGCAACACTAAATGAGGATTCTGGCCGTACCGAACAAGCAGGTAAAGTACATACCTCTCTTGCTTTAGAGGCTAACATTGGAATATCGTTTTCATACTTGTACCAAAATTCATCGAATTTCCAAGTTTTTGCTTTTATAGTATAATTGAAAAAGGATAACTCCTCTTTTATATTTCGCTTTGACTGTGTTTTTTCTTCGCACAGATTAAAACCACACAATGTTGCAAGCTTAGCAAACCCATTTTTGGGTTTAACAGGAACTTCAGGTGAAACATGAAATTGAACATCATTACTTGAATCAATCATATCTAAAAATGAAAACAAGTATTCATATTAGCTGAAATGTAATCTATTTTTTAACAACACTGAAAATGTAAAAAAAGTAAAATTTTTATTTAAATTTAAAAACAAATGTTTTTTAACAAACATAAATTTTAGGTTTATAACTAACCACTTCTCGAATAATTTTATTCAATTTGCAAGCAAATGTTTGTATGCGTCGATCTTCAAGGATATTGTCGGAGTGCTGACTTTGCAAATTTTTTCATAAGTTTGCTTTCTGCTTCTTGATATTCTTTTTCTGTAAGACACTCGTTTGTTCTCGGATCAAAGAAACATGCCAGCAAACTTTGCAGCTTTTGTTTTGTAGACATCTTTTCAACAAAGTATACCTTCATGAACTTGAGAAGACTAGCTCGTAACATGTTCTCTCTTTCCACCGTAGGAGATGGTTGTAAAAGAAAACATTTAGCTGAAGATTCATTTTCAAGAAAGTTCATTAACATATTTTGGACGAATTTTGCTGAAGAAAGTGTTGGAAAATTTTTAGTAGAGAGAAGTTTAATTGCTTCAAAAAATGGAGCAAGGTTATAATGTAAAATGTCTAGGAACTTCCAGTCATCTGATAACAAAGCTAGTTTTTTGAGTTTTATTAATATGTTTTTCTGTTAACCCATCGATAGTGCCAGGATCTATGGTAATTTTATTATAAGCATATTTCGCTTTTATTATCTTACTAATCATCAAAAACGTTGAGTTCCAACGTACATGAAAATCTGACAAAAAGTTTTTTAACTCCAGTACCTGCTTCTTAATCTCACTAAAAACAGAATTGCAAAACAGAAGATTGCAAAACAGAAGATTGTTTAACATTAGCTATCGTCTTTCTTAACCTGAATAATATTGATGAATAAATGAAAAACTGTTCAACATTTTCATTGGTTGACGCCTGCTCCTCCTCGCTATTTTCTTCATCATCTGAGCTAACGTCTTTGTCATAAGTGCATGCAATTTCTTCTTGATTGTCAGATGAAATATTTCCATTTGATTTGATATCGCTTTCATTATAATTATTGTAATATATAAGATCTTCATCTGCATCTGCTGTGCTATCTAATAAGTTATGTGATGGTTTAGTCCACAATTTGATTCCATGGTTCCAAACAAGATTTATATTATGACAAATGCATGAAAGTTGTAAAGCAAAAGATCCCATTGCCTTTTTAATATCTTCAGCGCCGTCAGTTGTAATTGAAATAATTTTAGATTCAATTTCAAGTTTATTAATTTCTTTTTGTACAAATGCTGTAAGTCTATTACTTACAGCATTTGCATAAAACCCACGAAAACAAACTATTTTTGATTTGTATTTAAATTTTTTTGTTAAATAATGCGCTGTTATGCAAAGCTAATACGATCCAACTCGATTTTTCCACAAATCTGTTGCTAGTGCTATGTAGTTCTTGTATTGATAATACTGTTTTCTTAATTGATTAGCTATTGTCTTTTGATGAGGCGGCTTGTAATGCGGAGCAAGAATGTTTAGAAGGAGTTGCATACCAGGTTTATGAAAATTGTTGAAAGGGCGGCTATCTTAAATAATACAATTTATTATGGCTTCATCTATTTCATCTCTGTTCTGCGTTTCGAGAAATTGATCTTGAGCAATTTTTTTTTGAGAATCGTAAAGGTGTTCCGGTTTTTTATGAATATGAAATATATGTTTTCGCAGATTTGGCTCAGGCCCACATATAAGTTTTCCATTTTCTGGACACATCAAACAAATATATTTATTAGCTTCAGAAACAAATGAAAAAAATGACTTAATGGACAATGGCTTCATTTTACAAACTGATTTTATAATTTGATCATCGTCGGTATCAGAGTTCGAAACTATAATATAAAAATAAATTCATTAAAATATATTTCACGTCGCAGCGTAAATTAAGGACCAATTTAATGACTGTACTAGAGTATTTTTATCGGTTATAATTTTATAATATTATTATTATTATGCTCTATTTTCATTAGCTAGACTTTTTCATATCTCATTATACAAAATATGTTTACGATTATACCTGAATATGTATTACTGCCGCCAGATTGACCTCTAGATTCTACAGTTTCTATGTTTCTTTGAGATAAAGAAAAACGTTTTTGACGATGTATGTTGATAAACGCTTGCGTTCCAAATAAAGATCTTTTAGATAATCTTCTGTCTTTATCTCTTTTTCCTGCCATATCTGTCAAAATAAAAATTAAGCAGTACTGGTGCTTTGATCTCGTTTATATTATTTATACAAATTCAATAATGAAATGAAAAGAGAAAAAATAAATAAAATTTTTGTGCTTTTTTAACAGTTCTGCTTGCAAAAAAAAGAATAACTCAATGCTGCTCTTTTTTTCTTTTTTTTTTTTTTTTTTTTTTTTTGGTTTCCTGTTTTATTTTTTTGTAACTAATAATGTAATTTATTGCTGGAAAAAGATTCTCAATATCATACTTTTACTTTAAGTTATTAAGAGCATTGTTGTGTATTCTGCTGAGATATTCTTGTATCTGTACAGGATATTTTATTTTTATGCTTTAATGGTATGTCAGAACATAGCTTCTGTTTCTGAGAAAATTCAATTTCTTTCCAAAAACAATATAGTTTAACACTTTAGATAAAGCCAAAATACCTTTTATGATTGTATCTAAATACTTATATATATAACTTATTGTAACGCTCGTATTAATTTATTTTTTATTTTAAAATAACTATTTTTGTCATGTTTCTGTTCTGCGTTATATTTCAGTGAACGTAATAAAGGTGTTTACTACGGTAATAAAACTAGTGTAATAAAAAAGCAATTAAATGTACCGTCAGTTCTGTATTAACAGCAGGGCTCACCCATCACCAGGTGCGCAATTTTATTATCGGGCCTCTTATGTTCGGTTGCCCTAACGCATAAGGGGCACCACAATAAAAGGATATTTTTGTTTTATTATTTTTTTAGTCGGTTACCCAGTGCACAGCGGACCAGTAGGTAGAAAAAATGGGAAAAACTTTAGTTGTCTAATCTTGAAAACTTATTTAATTTTAGTATCTACATATATAAGGAGAAATTTATTGACAATTTATTTATATTAAATCCCTTTGTTACCATGACTCTAAGCATTTTAATATTGAAATTTAAAAAAATTATAAATAAGTAATTTACGGTGACATCAACACTGTGTTATATTTCAATTACATTTACGTTTTTAAAATAAATAATTAGTACATGTTATTCTAGAGTATTTAAAGATAAGAAAAACCAATGTGTGAAATAAATATGTCATAGCATGTTATTTCAGTTATACTTTGAAAATCACAAATTTAAAAAAAAAAACACTAAGAAATTTATTTTTTGCCGCACTATAACTAATAATTACCATGTGCTGCCTTATTTTTGTTTAAGCTATATGATGCTTTAATCAAGTTTGAGTTGATTATCCCCTTAAGTTCATCCCCTTAAATTCCCATTCAGATATCACATGTTTTAAATTGGTTGCTATGGTACTAAATTTTGCATAGCAACTGCTCATTTTTACATTAACATTGTTTGAACAGTATTTTATTTGCGCTAAGTTCACAATATTGGATATGTAGTAAAATGAGATTCAGAATTCTGAGGTTAATTTTTTTTGGTTGCTATGGCTACCTTAATTTGCATGGCATATAAACAACATATTTTTGGTAGTTGTTAGTAATTTAATAACTAACACTAACTGTAATTTAATTACTTTTAATTTTAATTACTAACACTTGCAGTAGCTTAATTACTAACAAGAATTAGTAGTCCACGCGGCATATATATTGTAGCATTAGCCAAAATTTGCAAATTATAAATACGTTAGTTTTAGACTTGCTGTTCAACGGTTTGTTTACTTGTATAAAAAAAAGTGGAAATCTGCAAACTATACTGTTAAAAGATTTTTTTTCTTCTAAACTATATCAACCTGGTACTCAAAAGAAGCAGAATAATATGCTGATTTTGAAAATATTGTTTGTTTTAATTAAAAAATAAAAAATAAAAAAATAGAGCTGTTTTTTTTATAAAAACAGCTCTATTTATACCTTGAAATCCCAGTCTTCGACAAAACGGGGGTTTTAAGGTATATTTTTTCACTAAATTTTTTTTTAAATAAAATTGTTATTTATCAAACAAGCATTTTTTTCTGCTTTTTTTGAGTTCAAGGTTGATATGGTTTTAAAACAAAATTCAAAAATATTAGTACCCGTCAAGAATTTATAATCCAAAGAGGAACCTCAAGATCTAATCAAAAACAAAAAAAATTTTTTTACTTTCATCTTATAAATAATAGGCATCGATTTGTGTCTCAGGAATATTGATTTTTTTGCTATGAAAATTGCTCTCCCTTTATATAGAACTGTGACATATACTTTATTTATCAATAAATGGTTCCTTTATTTTAAAGCGTTTCGCTAATATAAAAATATTAGTTAAAAGTTTTAACGTAACTTTCACTTAAGGTATAATTCAGATTATTTTTCATTCATCGCGTTATTAAAATGTTAGTGAGTAAAATAAATAGAAAATTTTTGCTACAAATTCATAAAAAAAAAATCATTTATCATTTTGAAAAAGATAAAAATGTTTAGACAAAGATAATAATCATAAATCAGCGTACCTATATTACAAAAAAAAAGAAGTTTAAACCTTATTTATTAGGAATATTGTTTACCTTGCTTCAATACCCAAACACGATTTGAACAACCAAACAAATAAATATTTTAGGTGTCTTTTGAAGGGGTGCTAAAATTATCACCCTGCCAAAATTACCCTATTTTTAATGTTTTTATTTTTATTTTTTATTTTACCTTATTTATTATGTTTTAAATGTTTTTTATTTATTACATTATTTATGTTTCATTACTAATTTTTTAATCTAGGAGTAGTGTAAAAAATGTCTTGAAAAAAAGTTGTCTAAAAGTACTGTTTGAAGATATTTTTTACGCTTGGCGCATCCCTAATATACATATAAACAAATATTGTACATGTATAATAAATGTGCATATAAAAGAAAAAAAATACCACTTACTACTGCTATGCGTGATTCAATTGTTTTTGAGAAGGTAATCTTGAGTAATATTTATGAAGAAATAATAATACTATGACATCTACTTGCGTAGTTGTTAAGTTTTAATATTTAAAGAACTATAAACAAGAAATGACTTTATTCCAATAATTACTACCTTTTGTAATTAAAACTTCAATTTGTCTGCTTACAGCAGCAGTTTAAGTGTCTGTGAGGATGTCTTAAGCAAGTCATTACAAAAATATTTGTATATAGGGCCATCGGCACAAAATACAGGGCTGGAGGACAAATATTGATTCCAAGCTTTTTATTTATTTGAAAAAAAAAAAAGTTTTTATATACATAATTGTATTCTCTTTATAAAATTTAATTACAGTTTTATCTGTTTATAAAGCGAAAACCCCTTTTTGTTTATACAATTACAATCCCAACACAATCGTTATCGTATGATTAAGGTTATGCAATAGTTGTTGGAGGAGTCAAATGTTAAGATTTTTACACAACTGTTAATTATACTTTTAAAAAATAGTATTAATTTTCAGAAATATTAGGGAAGGGATTACGTGAAAGTAATAAGAGTGAAAATAACAAGATCTATCAAGTTTCATCTTTTAAAAAATTTTTATGCTCGTTTTTATACCTTTCTTTTCTGTCGCAAAGATTTTTTTGTCATTTTTTGTCATAAAAATTTTGTAATTTTGTAATTTTTTTGTCATAAAAATTAAGTTGACCTACATGCTCACATTCAATTTCGGGGAAGCCAAACGTGTAAGTCCAATTTGGTACATTATTGAAAGGATAATATTTTTATATATGCTAGTTCATGACAAGTTAACTAGCTTACATAAAAAGTTTATTTTTTTCTTTAAAGACGTAAGATCGTGCACAACTTCTGGGTTATGAGGGGCGGGTGTGTCGTACCTCCCTAAGATTGTAAAATTTCAACTTATTGTTAGTAGGGAATTTTCAAATGTAGTAAAGCACAAAAACAAAAACAAAATAAAAACCTTTAAAAAACAGTATACATTAAAAAAAGAACAAGAGGCATTAAATTCTCCATCTTTTTCTGTTCTTCTAACATTAAAACTGTATTTAATTGAGCTTAGTTTTTGATGTCGAGATCAAGATCTGTAGGTTTTTTAAAAGAATTTTTAACTGATGCTAAGACCCTTTTTAGTAACTTTTGTAATTTTTTGGAACTCCAAACCTTTCAAGAGAATTAAGTAAGGGCAAACTTGATTGCTGTATAAGGGTTCGACCTTAAACAACAATCAAATTTTTTTTTAATTGATTGTGCATAAAGTTAAACCCTTAAAAAAATGAGAAAGTGTATTTTTTTTATTTGGCGATTTTTAATAGTGGGTAGGCATCTTAGATAAGAACTGGTAGAACTACTATTTATGCTTTTTTATAAGTTGGTATATTTGTCATTACCCAGTGAGATCTGATCGGTTAAGGTAGAAACTATTGTGGTGGTGCAGGTTACTTTTGGAAATATATGTTAAGTTAGGGCACAGTCGATCGGATTTTATTTTTTAAATTAAGCAAAAGTTAAAATATGTATTTTATTTTTTCAAGGCGAAAGGATTGAGATATATGTTTTTCATGATGATAAATTACTAAAACCCAAATATTTATTATCGGCTCACAGAAAGGTTTAGAGTGAATTGCGTTACGTTATTTACTGTGCCCCAGTACTGGGGCACAGTGAATCAATGAACACATCTGTGAAATAATTATAGTGATTAGAGGCATAGTCAAATAAATATAAGGCTAAAGACACTGTAAAAATAGACCTTTTGAAAATTGAGACGAAAAAAAAGAACTTTATTGATAACAAAACTTATATAAGTATTAAAAAATTAAAAAATTATTCAAATATTATTAAAAACTTAAAACTAATAAATTCATTTTCATGTAGTTTGTTTGTTAAAAATGCATGAATTTAATCTTTAAGATCATTAATTGGACATTAGTAAACCAACCTATTCACTGTACCCCGATTCACTGTGCCCTTTTCTAACAAATTTAGTTTAAGTCTAATTTATTGGAACATGAGTGTTGTTAAAAGAAAAGCTAAACTACCAAAAGGAAATATTAATAATCCGCATGAAAAACTTCAACTTTTAAAATTATTTCAACCATAATCTCCTTAACAAACATAAGGAAGGTAAGAAAATTTACTTTAGTTAGCTAAAAATAAAAATTATCTACCAAAAACCGGTAGTCAAATACTTTGTGGTAACTACTATAAATAAAGACGGCTGATATATGAGCACATAAAATGATTACATTACTAAGATGAATAAAATTC